TTTTTTCAATTCCTTCCTGACAGGCTTCCAAGAGGATTCCTCTAAAGGTTCAGCATTGCAAATTGCTGACTGTAAAGTCCTAAGCATTTCTCAAGCGTTCTAACTGTTTGTGTCCAGGGATGCGTGGATCGAGCCGTTCGGGAAACTCTTCCCACGAAGTCTTCGTCCGACCACGTCGCAGCCAAAGACCCCAAGCACATTGCCTGAAAAAGACATACGTATGGTACAACTCATTCCCTTCAGCCTAGGCGCACCATGGGTTCAGGGCAGTGGGGTACTGGATGTCCAAAGGAATGTGGACTCCAAGGTGGTATTTGGGCCTGTACTTGAAGAGCTGCATGCCAGCACGGTGGGTCTCACTGGCAAGAGCTGCGTAGGCCACCTAGCCAACTTGAAGCAAAGAGGAAACTATGTGATCATGCATGTTGTTTCCCTTAAACACGTACCGTATGTCCATAGAGTGACTCTGGAAGGGCCCAGGTTGTGTAAGCGTGGCTGGATAGTGCCCCCACACCGCTAACGTTTCTACCCAGTCACATTCATCTCATGGCCAGCCGTGCGGGCAATGGTGCAGATGTTGCCCTTCAGCAGGACACCTTCCTTCCGCAGCACTTGGAAGAATGCATTGGCGCACTTGATCATGTAAAAGTCCAGCTGCAAAAGCCGATCATGGGGGTCCACCTGTCAAGGACTTTGTCAGGTCCCGAACCCACAGGATCATATGCATATACACATATCACTTCAAGAGAAACCCCTAGATGGAGCCTCCGATTTGGCTAGGTCCTCTTCAAGCCACGTCATGACAAGGGCTGTGTCATAGGCTTTGCCCCCCAATGGTTGTCGGAAATCCTTTCCTGAGCACCCAATGAAAATAGCTGTCAAACCATATTGAGGAAACTCCAGACTACCATTTTGAAGATCAACTACAATGGGGGGGCTCCACAAAAACCGGCATATATGATAAGTTTCTTCCCCATTGCAAAGGACTGCTTTGAGAACTCATCGATGGAGGTAAATCTCGAGTTGAGCTTGCACCACAAATCAAACCGAGCATAGGCTTCAGCCAAGTTGTCATCCAACTTGCGAGCATTGCCAAAATGGCCACGGTTACACAAAAGCACTATAGATGAGGCAGCTGCGTCCATGCCATACCCGATGTGGTAGATGTGAAGAAAATCCAACAATATGTACTTGGGGTCATGGCAGCCTGGAACATGATGTAGCGGCGCGAATCCCTTGTATGGCGAAGGCCCTGTACCGCCACTAAACCATGCAGCGCTTTCTGTTGGGTTCTCCCATTCCTCCAGGGTTCGATTGCATGTCAACAACCAGCTGACATTGTGTCAACAGTCTGGAACCCATAAGTTGTGGTTAGTTGTGGTACTTTCTACTCACTGAACAGGAAAACTGCATGCATTGCTTGTCCTCAGAGTTGCATCTATGACAGATACGCTTCGATGTGAACCCTGTGGATAGAGCAAAAGCCTGAGTCATCAGTACCACAATCTTCCAAAGAGGTCTTATCCCAAAAAAAGCCAAAGGTGTTCAGGGGCACCCAGAAAAATGTTTTGATGTTAAGCTCAAACACCTTCCGCAGGAACGGCCAATCTCCTTTGGCGCCGCAGCATACCAATCTGAGTTTGGTGCCGCCAACATCCTTGGAGAAGGCAGGGGCAGGAGATGATAGGGTACACGAAAAAGGCACACTTTTGTTTGAGGGTTCATGCTATAAAGGTTCAAAGTGTATACCAATAGGAATCTAAGAGTCACCAACACCTGAGTAGAAAGCTTCCAATGCTTTTGGCAAATTCCGTCATGATGTCATCGATCGTCCAGGTTTGATAGTACAAATGACTTGAAATTCCGGTGAAAAGCCATCTTGAGCAAAAGGAATGCCTTAGATCGCATAGTCTTGTTGGTCCAGCCAACTTATGACCCAACAACTTCACCTTTGGTGGTGTACAAGTGCACGCACAGCCACCCACACAAACCTGCACATGTATGAAGTACAACACATGCCCAACATGTCTACACACGAAAAGGCACAATGAGGAAAATGCACTCCAATCAACACCAAATTGCGTAGTATCGTTGACGGTTTGTGGGCCTTGGTGCCCGATCAAGCACTGCCACGACAATACCATATATGGGCGCTTCAACTGCCCACGCCCCTCATCTCCATGGAGATGGTACGGAATGCATCCGCCCAAATCGAACCCTTCACGAAAGACAGGGTGCGAACCGTCCACTTCTTTGTAGCCAGCCCAGAACTCAGTGAAGGTCCGCTGCCAATCGCCGCCAATGTCATGGCCAGCCAACAAGAGCCCTGGCTTGTGAGCAATCAAGTATTGCACCCAATCATTCATACGAAGCACCGGCCAGTGGACTCTCAAAGCACGAATGGGCTTACGAAGCCTCACGTGTACTTCGCAAACACACACAGGCAGGTTCAGTGACACGCCAGCTGTTCGCTTGATAAGACGCCTGATTGTTCTGCAGGCGTTCTTGTGTGACGTGTACGCCGTGCCCATCTTGGTCAAAAGGTTTCCCTTCACATTGCCTCAGGAGCCATATCATGCATTGCATGGGCTAAACATGTCCAGCCACATGTCATATGATGTCAAAACACAGTAGACCCCACACCCCCAAATGTTTGGGGTCACAAATGCATCTATATATGCAAACAATGCGGCTTGGTGTCACTTGCCAGTAAGCCGGCACATCATAGATGCAATCTTTCCAACTCTGAAAGCTGTCTCAGCCTTATTGTGAAAGGCTTGAGCGTTCTCCATAATTGTTGTTAACCCTGAAACCCTGGAGTTCTATCAATCCCAACTTCTCAGCATCCAAGGGACTCCGGTGCAGTACTCTCCTAGCATCTCACGTGCCAGGTCGTCCGCAAGCTCTTCTCCATCGAGGCCGGCATCACCAGCTCCGCTAGCAATGTTTCTGCTTGCAATGAAGAGGAATGGTACAAATAGCCCTATAGGGTTGCATATGACTGATCGATAGACTGGGGCATGGTCTTACATAGTTGCTGCTTGAGGTCGACGCGTTTTTATTTGGCTAGCGAACTTGCCATATGAGCGAATGGGAACATGATTGTGCCCAGATATCCAGGCCTGGGGCGGCCAGTGCTTTGCGTCGACCTGGCGTACAAGGAACTGCAAGGGCTTAACTGACTGATGACCGGGGTTCATGGGATTGTGAATTTGAGAATTGATCGCTTGGGAGAATCTACCACCATACGCTTGCAAGACCCAATCGCATCCAAAGCTGAAGAACCTTTTGCTCCGAGTAGAGCGGGCTAGGCTGCTGAGTGCTCATGTAAAGAGCCGCAACACGCCAATGGCCAGGCATATCGTTGGGGCACCACCAACAGCCAACAGGAGATATATGGTGTAACTAGAGTACTCTTATACAAAATCACCCCACTGCGTGGCCACCCTAAGCATGTTGGGCATAGAAATCAAAACTTACACACTGCAAAACGCAAAATGCGATCACCTACTTCTTGCCCTTCTTTTTCTTTGTTTGGTCTTCCTTTGGCGCTTTTTTTGCTTTCTTTTTCTTCTTAGCCTTTACCGACTGTTCGTCTTCACCATCGGAATCAGGTTCTTCCTCATCCAAAGAACCCTCTTCCTTGACCTCTACCTTCTTGCCCTTAGTCTTACGTTTCCTCTTCCCAGCCGCAGCCGGCTTCTCCTTTGCTTTTGGCTTCACTGCCCTAGTCGGACGACAGTTGAGCTGTATATATGTACAGAAAAAAAACGATCGATATCGATATGCTATTATTAGTCAAAGATTCCTAGCCTGCGTCGGGTCACGACCTGGTTGAGCTGAACATCTTCTTTCGTCAGCTCACACAACTTCATCCGGAGCTGGGATTTCAGGTGCCTCAAGCCAGCCACTTGTGGCGAAGGGGATTACATATGAAGCGATTATATCTACCAGAGATTGCCAGAGTACTCAGTCTTTCACATATGTATGCACCTACGTGTATAGCTCAAAGGTTCTTGCCCTAAAATCTCAGTTTCTGGCTGGGAGGGTGGGTGTTCCATTTGCATGGCATCAGCCTGCAACTTCAGGAGCTCATCGAACTTCGCCTGGAAGGCGCCAAGCTTTGTCAGCAGCTCGGCGCCAAGCCTGGGTCTGGCTGCTTGCGAACTGGCTGCACTTGGGCCCAATGCTATATTTGTACAAGACCTCTAACACCTCTAAGCAAAGTGCGTTTTGGCACGCTCCGTGTCCATCTCAGTGAGTTTCTCCTGGGAAAAATTATCATTCCATGTGCAGAGTTCTAGAGATGGGTGGGACATATTTGCATGGGTTTATATAGCTGTAAAAAAACGTATACGTACTATATGCCTTCAGATCTTCGGCTTGGTCAATCTTCTTCCCCGCCTGGAGGCTACCTGAAGCGAGCAGTGAAATCCTATCGACTCATATGGAGGTGCGCGCACACAGGTAATTCGCTAAGATACTATACGGGTCTTGTGTGACTTGGAGAACAGGAAAGGCCAGCTTCTTACCCTTATTTTTGGCATTGGGAGTTACCCCATGCTCTGCCAGGCTGAAGTGTGTGGCATTGGATCCTTTCCTTAGCTGTGGTTGTGACCTTCCAACAAAAAAATAAGGTAGTGGCCAAACAATAGTTTAAGATATTTGTTGGTTGAACAAATTGCGACCACGTGTCAGCATAGCCTTTTCAGAGGTCAGGTCCGCAGATGATCCCAAAAGAAGTCCCTTTCCACCCTGACGGCCGTTACAGAAGTAAAGCTTACCAGCTAGACCAAGGTAGTGGAAGTTACTTCACAGTGGAAAGCACCAAGGCCCGGCCTCCATCTGGGTTTTGGCTCCGACTTTCGTTTTCAACGTTTCCTTTTCAGTATGGCTATAGCTAAACTCCACAGGGACACGGTACTCCATCTCACCGTGCACGCTGTTTCTTCGAGCCAAGCCCCTTTCCTCAGCCCAAGCTTTCGCATTGTCCACCATGGTCCTGGGAGATGGAGAGGTAGAGGGTGTAGAGACATTAGGGGTGCATATATTGGCGAGATCTATGCATATGGATTGTCACTTGAACATTGAAAGGCTGAGGTGAATACTGTGTCCAACCAGGTAGAAGTAGCATTTGTGCTTCAGTTTTCCATCCACCAAGGGTCTTCTCTTCTGTCTCCTACAATGGTAGAGCATGCATGGCTATATCGCTAATTCCTACTGAACACATATGCTAGCTGCAAATGTGCTTTGAACCCCACCTCGGCAAGTTCCCGTTCAATGTTGAGATTGACCATATCCATTTCCATATCATATTTGTACAGCAGCTCCTGGAGCTTTTCACCTAGCTGGTTGGACATAAGGGGTGTTTAATGCATATGTATTGCATGTAAAGCTTTCAAAAGCCAATGCATATATGCAGTATAATCAAAAAACAGCATGCCAGGTTACGTCCAACATTGGATCCCCAAAGCTTTACCACCTCCGGATTCAGTTGGACTTTTCCCTTCTTTCCCTTTTGGATGTACCTATCCATCCTCGGCACCACAAAACAAGCGCTAGCCACCCAAAGTTTCCAAAGTTGACAGGGCATTGCATCTTAAATTGCAAACTAGTTTCTTCCAATAAGTTCCATCTTCATATATGGTACCCTCGATGACAACCCGTTTACCGTCAGAACCTGCAGGCTGATCCAGAGCCTCCCTTGGCAAACCTGCTGAATCAGCTGAATGGCTCGGAGCCTCATTTGGGACCTGTGGCGGTGGGACAGGTGGTTCGCTCTGTCCATCCTGCTGGGAATCACGGGCTGCGGAATCTGAGGGCACAACAATAGGAGAACCTGCAGGGGG